GACCACCTCTTGCGCGGCATCTCAGAACTCAGAGTTGCGAGAGTGTCTCAGGCGAAACGCGCCGGACCACCTCGCGCGCGGCATCTCAGAGCTCAGAGTTTGGAGGACGTCTCAGGCGATACGGGCCGGACCACCTCTCGCGCGGCATATGGGAGCTTAGAGTTTCGAGGATGTCTCAGGCGAAACGGGCCGGACCACCTCTCGCGCGGCATCTGGGAATTCAGTGGAGGATGTCTCACGCGAAACGCCCAATCCAGGACGACTCAGAAACGAGGGTTGCGAGGATGTCTCAGGCGAAACGGCCCAGACCACTACATTTTGTTGAGGACGTCTTTGCTTTGATTTCCCTCGGCCGGAGGTAGCTTCTATCACAACAACAACAACAACAACAACAACAACAACAACAACAACAACAACAACAACAACAACAACACCCCGTGCAGCAAGCTGTCTGGGGACAACAGTCTGGGGGCGATTCTCCACGCTATTTCTGAACATGTGGCGCGCATGTTCGGCATATCTTTCCTTTTTCGCCCCAAAATCCGCCTGCACGCCGCGAGAAGGCGGGGATGTCCGCCCTCCGCGACCTCGTGGGCGGCGGCGACGCCGGCTGCCGGCGCCGGCGCGCCGATCGACCCGGCGACCGCGTCCGCGGTCGCGTGCGGCGTCGGCGCGTCGCCGCCGTCGTCTCGCGCAGCTCGGCGCCGTCGTCGCGCTCGACGCCCTTCCTCGACCCAGACCTGTTTTTTTGGCGCAGGGCGCCGGCGGAGGCCATGGAGGCGCCCACCATCGGGAGGGGAAAAAACACACAGACACAATTCATCGTCGATTCCCCAGAAAGTAGGGGAAAATAGGGGACTTGGGGGGGAGACAAAAGCCTAGAAAATACGGGGAAATATGGGGGGATCCTTTTATTTGTGTGTATTTATTTGTGCGTCCTGGTGCCCCTTCACACCAGCGCAGGCCTCCACCGTCCGGAGCCGCTGATCGGCAGGCCGGTCGGCGCCTCTGCGCGCCTGCGGCGGCAGCACGCCTTAAGGGGCCGCTGCCTGGGCGCGGGCCGTGCGACGCCATCGCCCTCTCGCTCCTCGGGGGCGGAGAAGAGGGGGGGGATGACTAGGGGGGGGGGGATATCATGGCGGGGGCCATGATATTTCCCCAGATCTCGTGGCGCCTCTTCTTAGTTCATTGCGTCCCTGGCCCCCTCGCTGGGCCGCGCACATGCCGCCGGTCATGATTTGCACCCCCCCCCCCTCTTGGACACCCCCCTCCTGGCCGCTCCCGAGCTGCACTGCGCCGGCTGCTCCTGCGACGCGGTCCCCGAGCCGGAGCATTGACAGCGCGCGACCGAGCATCGCCAATCTGCCCACTTGCGTGGCCAGTGCTCAGTGGTTCAGTCGCTCGCATCCTCTGGTTTTTGGGATGTGCTCCTGTCCTAGGCTGGGAATCTGGGAGTCGATGTTTTCGCGTCCTGGCCGCTGTTTTCAAGCATGATTTGTTCTACGTTCTTCTCTTGTCGTCTGCCCGGTGCACCACTGTCAAAGACAGGCCAATACGGAAGGACCCCACATGAGAATCTCTTTAGCTTGCATGGGGGTATCCTCCTGCCCCTTCCCTTCTCCCACCTACTCTTGCCTCCTCGTTCTCCTCCTGTCTGCTCCTCCTCCTGCCTCAACCCCTGCCTCTTCCTCCTCTTCTTGCCTCCTCCACCTCCTCCCCCTCCCCCTCGTTATGCTTCCTCCCCCCCATTCCCCCTGCCCCTCCTGCCTCCTGCCTCCTCCTCCTGCTCTCCCCTCCCCTTCCTCCTCCTCCTCCTCCTCCTCCTCATCCCCTGTCCTCCTCCTCTCCCTCTCCCTCATCCGCTTCCTCCTCCTCCTCCTCCTCCTCCTCCTCCTCCTCCTCCTCGTTTCCCCTCCTCCTCCTCCTCCTCCTCCTCCTCCTCCTCCTCCTCCTCCTCCTCCTCCTCCTCCTCCTCCTCCTGCCTCCTCCTTAGGCCTCCTGCCCCCTCCTGGGGCCTCCTGGGGCCTCTTGGGGCCTCCTGGAGCCTTCTGGGCCTTCCGGGACCTACTGGGGCCTCCTCGGGCATTCCTCCTCCTCCTTTTCCTCCTCGTCCTTCCTCCCCTCAGCCTCTTCCTCTTCCTGCTTTCCTGTCTCGTCCTGCATCATCCCTCCTCCTTTTCCTGGCAATCCTCCTCCTCCTCGTCCTCGTGCGGAACACGACCCAGAGGAAGCGCACGACGTGCGTCCCAGCCGATACGCGCCGGAGGACGACCCAGAGGAAGCGCGCGCCGGAGGATGACCCGGAGGAACCACGTGAGCTGCGGGACCCATAGGAAGGCTCCCGCCTGACGCGTCCTCACAATTCACTCACAGACGAGGGTCCCGCTTGATACTTCTTCCAAATTCAGACCTGAGGAGCCCAAAAGTGATAACAGTTACAGGAATCCGATGACCCGCTCGGATTAGTAACATGATCTGCGGGCCCCATAGGGAGGGGGCTCCCGCTTGAGACTTGCTCGCAATTCACTGACAAACGAGGCTCCCGCCTGATACTTCCTCCAAATTCAGACCTGAGGAGCCCAAAAGTGACGACAGTTACAGGAATCCGATGACCCGCTTGGATTAGTAACATGATCTGCGGGCCCCATAGGGAAGGGGCTCCCGCTTGACACTTCTTCACAAATCACTCACAGACGAGGTTCCCGCTTGATACTTCCTCCAAATTCAGACCTGAGGATTTCAAAAGTGACGACGGCTACAGGAATCCGATGACCCGCTCGGGGACGGGGCTCCCGCCTGAGACTTCCTCACAATTCACTTACAGACGAGGGTCCCGCTTGATACTTCCTCCAAATTCAGACCTCAATGGCCCAAAGGTGACAACAGTTACAAAAATCCGATGACCCGCTCGGATTAGTAATATGATCTGCGGGCCCCATAGGGAGGGGGCTCCCGCTTGAGACTTCTTCACAATTCACTCACAGACGAGGCTCCCGCTTGATACTTCCTCCAAATTCAGACCTGAGGATTCCAAAAGTGACGACAGTTACAGGAATCCGATGACCCGCTCGGATTATTAACATGATCTGCGGGCCTCATAGGGAGGGGGTTCCCGCCTGACGCGTCCTCACAATTCACTCACAGACGAGGGTCCCGCTTGATACTTCTTCCAAATTCAGACCTGAGGAGCCCAAAAGTGACAACAGTTACAGGAATCCGGTGACACGCTCGGATTAGTAACATGATCTGCGGGCCCCATAGGTAGGGGGTTCCCGCCTGAGACTTGCTCGCAATTCACTGACAAACGAGGTTCCCGCCTGATACTTCCTCCAAGTTCAGACCTGAGGAGCCCAAAAGTGACGACAGTTACAGGAATCCGATGACCCGCTCGGATTATTAACATAATCTGCGGGCCCCATAGGGAGGGGGCTCCCGCTTGAGACTTCTTCACAATTCACTCACAGACGAGGTTCCCGCTTGATACTTCCTCCAAATTCAAACCTGAGGAGCCCAAAAGTGACGACAGTTACAGGAATCCTATGACCCGCTCGGATTAGTAACATGATCTGCGGGCCCCATAGGGAGGGGGCTCCCGCTTGAGACTTCCTCACAATTCACTTACAGACGAGGCTCCCTTTTGGTGGATGATGGTGATGGGATCATGACGACGGTGTTTGATGATGATATATGACTGATGATGATGATGTTGATGATGATGATGGTGGTGGTGGTGATGATGACGACGTGATGATGATAATGGTGATGATGAGTGTTGATGGTGAGTGATCGTGCGATTATGATGGTAAATGGTGGTGATGATGATGGGGACGTAGTGGTGAGTCAGCGACTAGTGATGATGATGCTGATGATGATGATGATCGTTCGATGCCGATGATGGTGAGTGATCGTGCGATGGTGATGCTGATGGTGATGATGATGATGGGTGGGGAGTGATGGTGATGGTGATGATGATGCGGAGGAGGAAGCGAAGAGGAGCAGAGGAGAGGGAGGAGGACGAGAGATCCTGCGCGGAGGGTGCGCAGAGAAAACAAGAACCCCACTTAGGATGTGGGTTAAATCCATGAGATGCAAAGATGTGTTGGATTCCATATGGTGTGGTCCACGTGTTGCAAGCTGTGGGATGTCATCCATGCGGTGCGAGCTATGTCATGCGCGGCGCCCACGCTGGACACATTTGTTTAACGATAAGATGCGCGGTGCCTGGGCGAAGCATCACCGTTCAGGATCCGTTTCGATTCGATCGATCAAATTCGAGGCCGGTCAATTCGAATACACAACATAATTGATTCGATTGTTTATTGGTTCGATGTTTGTCCGATCTGGCCTGTTCGAAGCCGATTTGAATGTGTCCGGCTCAGGCTGCCCGAATGCATGAGATACCGATCCGAGTCCACAAGGTTCCCACGATCCGATTGCGATGCCGATTCTTTGTGGTTTCGTTTCTTTGTGTCGGACGATATGGCGAGAAACCAAGCGCACCTCCCGCAGGCGTTCGTTTATGCAATTCCGATGGAAAATTGCGCAGCGCATGGGCGAGAACGAGATTTGCTCTCTCGGAGCCGACCTTCGCTTCCGACGATTCCGGGTGAGCGAAGTGCGCGTCACACCCAAGCGGGAGCGCAGCTTTCGGAACACGTGTGCGCTTGCTTGCGCGCGAGGCGCGCCACGCCCCAGTCCTGCCATGCGTCTGGTAATGCCGGCGGCACAGGGTCCATGTTGGACCAGTTTGGGCTTGCTTCTCCTCCTCCTTCTCCTCCTCCTCCTCCTCCTTCTCCTCCTCCTCCCTCCTCCTCCTCCTCCTCCTCCTCCTCTTCCTCCTTCTCCTCCTCCTCCTCCTCCTCCTCCTCCTCCTCCTTGAGGGTATTCGGTAAAGTGGAACAGATACGAGGACAAGGAGGAGGAAGAGCAGGCGGAGGAACGGGAGGATGAGGTTTAGCAGAAAACAGGAGGGGGCTGGGACAAGGACTTGGCCAGGGCAGGTCTTCGCCGCCACTGGCAACGAGTTCACGGCATCGCGGGTGTTCATGGCGTTGGCGCCGCGGCGCCCCTTGCCCCAGTGTCAATATATGCACAGAGTCATGACTCCCCCACTTCATCAGATCACAGAGCCAATGCCACCTCGGCAGCACCACCATCAATCATCCTCACCCTTCTGTTTTTCGCACCATCCCCCCTCTTCCCCTCCGCCAGCGATCTCCTCCTGCTCATTTTGCCCCCCCTCGTTCACAGTATCCTCCTTTATTCCATTTCCTTCATATAATTCCTCCCTGTCATATCCCGAGGCTGGTCGAAAGGGCGGGCGGGGCGTTTCGCTTGAGACTTCTTTACCATCTTAGATCCTGAACTTTGCAAAATGGCAGCAACTTCACGGATGGAGGTCGGGTGGTTTTCAAAACGCGGTTCTCGTTTTAGCGCCGAGCGCGTTCGTCAAACATAATCCGTATTGATGGCGGGTCGGTTTAACAAATGTTGGTTTTTAGTTTTAGCGCCGCGTGCATTCATTTTAAACAATGCAAAACGTTCACGAATTGAGAGCGGGTCGTTTTCAAATGTGGTTCCCGCCTTAGCGCCGCGCACGTTCGTTCTAACAAGTTGCAACAGTTTTACGGATTGAGGGCGAATCGTATTCAACATGTGGTTCTCGCTTTAGCACCGCGCACATTCGTTTTCAAGGCGTGTAAGACATTCATTGAGAGAGACCAGTTTCTTTTCAAAAGGTGGTTCTCGCTTGAGCGCCGCGCACCTTCGTCTTCAACATCTGCAAGAGTTTCATTGGCTTCCCATGGTTAGCGTACCAGGAATATTGCTTTGGAGCGATTCAGGATCGTCCAGGCGCAACAGTCACATTGATTCGCGGTGTCGAATGAAGCCCCCGGAATGCTGTCCTGGCACGATCCAGGATCGTCAAGACGCAACAGTCAGGTTGGGAGTTCCGAGAATTGTGTCGGGGCACGTTTCAGGATCTTCAGACGGTTGTTTCCCAACGGGTTTTTTCCTTCAGTGAGAGTGCACCTTGTAGGGGCCTATGAAGAGGGAGTTTCGAGGGAGGGTTTATTCCAACATCGTTGATGAGTCTTGGGTTTGCACTTGTCCTCCTCCTCCTCCTCCTCCTCCTCCTCCTCCTGCCCTGTCCTCCTCCACCTCCTCCCCTGTCCTCCACCGCCTGGCCCCCTGCGCCCACTGCGCATCCCCGTGTTGGCAGCAAGATCTCGGCGAGGGACCGCAATGCGCTGACCAGAGGGGCGGGCGCGAGGGCCGCGCGTGGGGGTCGGCAGGGGGAGCTGGATGCAGAGAGGGGGCACTCAGAGAGGGGGCACTTGGAGAGGAGAGGAGGAGGAGGAGGAGGAGGAGGAGGAGGACGAGGAGGAGGAGGAGGAAGAGGGAGGGCAGGAGGAGGAGGAGGAGGAGGAGGAGGAGGAGGAGGAGGAGGAGGAGGAGGAGGAGGAGGAGAGGAGGAGGAGGAGGGAGGAGGAGGAGGGAGGAGGAGGGGGGAGGGCAGGAGGAGGAGGATGATTTGGGAGAGGGCAGGAGGAGTACCAGCGGGAGCGGGAGGAGGTCAGGGCAACGTCAGGGAGGGTGGGGGCTGGCGGGTAGGCTCAGGTGTGGGCGCATCGGCCCCGAAATCGCCCATTCATCGCCGAGGGGGGCCCGATAGCCAACCCCGCCCAGGAGCGTGCGGCTTCGGCGCCGATCTGTCGTCGATGCGTCGCCGACTCAGGCTCGATGTTTTCTCCCCTCCCCCCCCCTCCCCACCCTGAGCTGGTTCCCCCCCTGCTGCTCTCCCTCAGGAGGTGGGGGGCGGGAGAGAAAATCAGGGGCGGCAGAGAAAATTAGGAGCTCCAGTCATCCGACATCACATGTGTTTTCAATCGTGTTTTGTTTGTTCCGTCTTTTGTGAATATTTGTATATCTAGTATTATATCAAAAAGCGTAGTAATAAGAATAAAAATGATATCAATAATAAGAACAATGATAATAACATTAATCATAATAAGAATAATAGTTATAAGCATAATAATGAGAATAATAATACTAATAATAATAGTAGTAATAATATTAATAATAATAACAACAATAATAAGACTAATGATAATGAACATAATAGTATAAACATCGCGACCTGGCCACCCCAGAGGCTCCATAGAGACCACTTCCGCCGGCACCACGGCTCGGCGCCCCGAGCCGTCATGTGGGCGTCGGCCCCCCCTGGGAACGCCCGCCGGGAGAAGGCGGCCGAAGGCTCCCCGCCATGCTTGTTGTTTTGTTTGTTCCTCGCGACGCTCGGGCCGGACGAAAGGGTGGGATTGGGAAAGGGGGGGTTACGAAATTTGCTGCATGCAGCTGGTTTCGGCCCCACCGAGGGGCCCATTCCTAGATGCATAGACGCCTCCGGCGCCGGCAATCGCCGGGAAGATCAGCGGCGTGAGCTGATTCTCAAACCCCCCCCTTTGCTATCCCCCCCTTTCGCCCGGCCAAAGACGCGGTGTGCCAGGGGGCGACAGCGACCGACCGTTCGTTGGTTGATTCCGTGTTTTGCCCATCGGCGCGGGCCCGCGCACCCCCCGTTCTCTCAGGAGGGAAAGAAACACACAGACACAAGTAATCGTCCACTCCCAGGAAAATATGCCAAAATATGGGAAGTGGTGGGGAAGACAAAAACCCAGAAAATATGGGGAAATATGGGGGATATTTTTATTTGTGTGTATTTATTTGTGTGTTCCAGTTCCCCTTCATTCTCCCCCCCCCCTCCCCTTCCTGGAGCAGCTCTTGGCTGCTTCGGGCGCTTGCTTCGGGCAGGCGGGGCCTCCCCCATTGCAGGACGCACTGCTGCAAACCGTGGCCTTGAAGCAGAGGTCCAGAGCCAGACCCCCCCCTCCTTCCGCCAAATGTTAGGTCGGGCATGTCCCCCTACCGTGGGATTCTGGACGGAAAATAAAACATACCCCGAAAATGCCAGAACAAAGATTCAAGCACTGCTCAAAAAAGGGCCCCCCTCTTATTGTGTACTGTCTTTATTTATCCCTCCTGTAGAGGGACGGGCCCGACTGGAGCCAAAGGTCGCAACGCCGACACAGAAAGCGCTCGCCCAGCGGGGGCGGGCTGGGGGAGCAGGGCGAGGAGCGTCTGCCCGGCGCGTCCTGCCGCCTGCGCTGCCCCGCCACGCTTCGCCCCGGCCTGCAGCTCGCGCCGTGCCCAGGCTCGGGGGCGGAAAAGAGGGGGGGTGATGACTAGGGGGGGGGGGGATATCATGGCGGGGGCCATGATATTTCCTCAGATTTCATGGCGCCTCTTCTTATTCCATTACGTCCCTGGCCCCCCCGCTGGGCCGCGCACATGCCGCAGGCCATGATTTGCACCCCCCCCTCTTGGACACCCCCCTCTTGGCCGCTCCCGACAGGCATCCGCGTTCCGAGTTTTTGTTTCCCAGCCTGCCGTCCCACGAGGCGGCGCGACACGCCATCGGCCTGCAAGGCACAGCGTGTCGCAGGGGTCGCCGCCGCGACACGGCAAGCCAAGGTTCCTCACCGTGTGTCCTCCGCAGCGCAGGCGACGCTCAACAACATGCGTTTCCCCATCATCCTCGGCCCGTTCCTCATCTTCCAGGCCGCGGGCAGCGACGCCCCATCGCCGTCGCGCTGTCGAGCAGTGTCGCTGTTGCCCCACTGGAGATACGCAGGCTAGGCAGTGCGCCTGCTGCACTTCCTCCATTTCCTCCCTCCCTCCTCCTCACCCCTCCTGCTATTCCGCCCTCCCTCCCTTTCAGCCTCCACCTTCCTCCTCTTCCTCCCTCCGTCCCCCCTGCCCTCCCTCCCTCCCTCCCTCCCTGTGTTCGTCCCCCAATCTCCTCTCTCCTTCGCCTCGTCCTCCTCCTGTTCCCCCCCTCCGCCCTGCAGGGGGCGATGGTGCACCCCAGGAGGCGCCCGCTGCGCCGGGGCCGACGACTCACCAGCTTTGGGAGGGGGGGCTGCAGGCTCCTCTCCCTCGCGCTCGCCCTGCTCCCGGTCCTGATCCTTCTCCTTCTCATCGTCCCCTTTCCGCCGCCCTGTTCCTCTCCTCTGCTCATGCTTCTCCCCTCCCGCCTCCCCCAGGAGCCTCCTCCTTTCCTTCCCGCGCTGCCCCCTCCCTCTTGCCATTCTTCTCTGCGCCTCCAGGTGACCCGCCTCTTCCCGCTCCTCCCCTCAGGCCCTCCCCCCTCCCCGATCTCTCTATCTCCCCCTCCTCGCCCTCCTCAGCCTCGGAAGGAGGAGGGATCACGTCAGCCTCGGGAAGAGGAAGAGGCGGAGGAGGGGGAGGAAGAGCTCCTCCCTCGCTTCCCTCCCCCCTCCCCCGCCTTTTTTTTTTTTCTCTCTCTCTCTCACTCTCTCTCTCTCTCTGTCTCTCTCTCTCTCTCGTTCCCCCTCCCCCTCCTCGCCCTTGCCACGCACGTGTGGCATGCCACTCCGCGCAAGTCCTGCCGAATCCAAGTAGAAACATTGTATGGGAGCATTTTTTGATTATTGGAGAGGCCTGACGGCCGGTGCCGCCGACCCTGATCGAAAGGGCTAGGAGTGGGGGGAGGAAGCGGAGGATGAGGAGGAGGAGGAGGAGGAAGAGGAGGAGAAGGAGGAGGAGCAGGAGGAGGAGGAGAAGGAGGAGGAGGAGGAGGAGGAAGAGGAGGAAGAGGAGGAGGAAGAGGAGGAGGAGGAGGAGGAGGAAGTGCATCCTTTGTGTGCCCGCTCGAAGAAAGTGCGCCCCGGGAGTGTGACATTCTGACTTGGGACGTATCTCGGGCGTGCCCGCTCGAGGAAAATGCGCCCTAGGGGGGTGGTATTTTGACTCGGGGCCCGCTCCCGGGACGCCTCTGCGAGGAGGAGGAGGAGGAGGAGGAGGAGGAGGAGGAGGAGGAGAAGGAGGAGAGGAGCAGGAGGAGGAGGAGGAGGAGGAGGAAAAGGAGGAGGAGGAGGACCAGGAGGAGGAGGAAGTGCATCCCGTGCGTGCCCGCTCGAGGAAAGTGCGCCCCGGCGGGCGTCGTATCTGCCCCGCCCCCCCCCCCCTGCGGGGAAGGGATCAAAGGGAAGGGGCTTCCCTTCGACTCCACTACGACGTCGTTTAATTTCGCTTTGGATAGCGCGCTTGAGGAGGAGAGCCCTGGGAGGGGGAGAACGGAGACGACGGAGACGACGAGTCGAACGGAGAAGCCCCTCACACACGCCGACAGGGTCGGCGGATTTTCTATCATTCCTCCAAAACCCGCCTGTAGGAGGACATGCCCGACCTATCGCAAGCCCTGTCGAATCCAACAAACAATTCTGAGGGACCCGAACCCGATGCAGAAAGTGAGTCCAATAATCAGCTGTCAGATTACCCTGGTGACGCTTCCATATGTGAGGATGTCTCCGACGAGAGCATGTCTTTTGAATGTACGTCGCATGCGGGACTCGGTGAGCATCTCGTCTGACATCCGAGGCGAACGCCCCCCCCTCTCAGCTTGCTGGATATCGCGTGCCAAGGAGAGAATACGTGTGTGACTGCCTTTTCCTCGGGCCCCCGATGTTGGGAAGCAGGACGTGCGGGGCGCTTGCGTCGCGGGAAGGAATGCCTGAGCACACGCGTGACCACCTCTTCCTTGGGCCTCCGAATTTGGGATCCCGAGGTGGGTGGCAGTCTGCGTCGTGGGAAGGGGCGCTTGCGTCGTCGTCGTCGTCCTTCGTCGACAGGCGAGCGCGGCGAGGGCCCCCCCCCACCCACACACTATGTTAGATATCCGAAGCACGATCTCCAACACCTCATTTGTCTGAGGTTGTCCAGTGCGAACGGCTCACTCTTGAGAGCCAGCGTCGCTCCAACAAATCCTCAAACATCCCTATGCTGTGAGGGTGTCTCAGGCGAAACGCCTCCACACACCATGTTCGATATCCGACGCCCGATCTCCAGCATGCCATTGGTCTGAGGATGTCGCAGGCGAAAGTGTCATGTTTGAGAATTTCCCCGTTAAACCACTCCACTTCGCCGACATTCCCATGTTGTGAGGATGTCTGAGGCGAGATTGTCCCACACACCATGTTGTATATCCGACACGGCCTCAAACTTGTGTTTCTGAGGACGTCTCAGGCGAATGCCTCATTTTTGGAGAACGCACATCGCTCCAACAACTCTTTCGACATGATCGTTGTGTTAGGATGTCTCAGGCGAAGCGCCCCTGCCGACCCCATACTGGATATCCGACGCCCGATCCCAACATTTCAATGAGGACGTCTCAGGCGAAAGCCACAATTTTGAGAACCAGCGTCGCTTGCAACATCCCCATGCACGGTAGGCTTGCGTCGTGTCGACCGGCGGCGACCCCAGCGCGGACGTTCCAGGTTGAACGCCGCCGGCGACCCAGAATCGATCGATGTGGAACGCTCGGACGCTGCGGCAGCGGCCGATCGTTCAAGGTGGAACGATCCAGCGCGGTGTCAAAAACCAAGGCTGGGGTCGGCACGACACGAACCTGCCGTATCCCCCACGATCGTTGCCCCTCAGCCATCCAGGACAGGCACGCCCCATCCCGAGGCCCGAGCTCGTGGACAGACCGCCGCGTCGTGAGGGACGACAGGCTGTCGACCTTGTCTCTATATGTGGGGTCTTTCGAGCGTGGCCGCTCGGCGAGGGTGCTGGGGCAGCGGAACGGAGCCCACACAATCCTGCCCACACAACGGAGTCCAGACACGAACCTGCCGCAGTGAGGACGTCGAAGGTGAAACTCTTGCCCGCCCGGCGGGGGGGCCCAGGGCCCGACGGACCAAGGCGGACGCTGGGCCTGGAGCCCTCACGGGGAGCACCCCGCCCAGTTCCAGAGTATCTCCTTCGCGGTGCCGCGCAGGAGGAGGAGGGGGAGGAGGAGGAGGAGGAGGAGGAGGAGGAGGAGGAGGAGGAGGAGGAGTCCTGCGTAGCCGTGTTGGCTCGAGCTCAAGGCTCCTTGGCCCATGATTCGCTCATGGCTCTTCTCTCGTCTCATGCTCGTGCTTCTCAACGCGTTGCTTCTTCTTGCGACATCCCCGATCCGTCAGTAAGCAAACGTGCATTCAACCAAGCAGCTGCACAAGGCATGGATTTGCCGCCCGCACTCGTCGTATTGACTTCGCATGTCAACCTTATCTACAGACACGCTTCTCATGTTGCGACAAAAGGTGACGACAATGATAGACACGACGTTCCGAAGGGCATTCACAAGAGGGATTACACTGACTTCAACAACCATGCCCCTGATTTCATACCTTGCGCTTGAGTCAACAATAGCATGGGTTGCATTTACCACCATACTTGCCCTCCCATCAATAATACAACATTGTACCGCCCCCGCTGCCTCCCAACCCAGCACTGTCGCCGCGCAGGATCCTCCTAGTTGGTCTGCGCTTGAAGCTCACCGTGGTGGCAGCCACGGCAATCTTAAAGCAGATCTGGGTGGGGGAAGGGGTTACCAACCTCCCTCGCCCCAGTGTCTGTGACGACAGAGTCGCCGACCCCTCATGAAGGCCCTGCGCTCGCGCACGCTTCGTTCAAAGGCACTGAATCAATCATTCCGCAAAGCACAGCAGATCCGGATGAGTGCACAGACCCGCGCCATCTTTCAGCTCACGCATTCGTGCACGTTGGCATGTCTGAGTTGCACAATCATGGACTGTACCTCCCTGCCTTCGAAGCTAGCGGATAGCAATCGGGCCAGGGATGGGGAGGGGTGACCACGCTTCCGCCTACGGGTCCAGCCCCCGACACCCAGCAGGCAGACTCAGAATAGGGTAATTTTCCAGTCGGGCAGGCAGTCAGATTGGCGCGTTGACACAAGATCGATGACTAGACTAGAAGGTACATTCGGCGACTGGGATGGCGCCACAGCCCGGTGGGCAGTTCAAAGGGGCAGCATCCCAATCCAAATCAGACGATCAGGATTATAATCTGCGTTATTGCGGACAGCCGTTCGATTTGAGTACCATGACGACTTTGTGCACCGTCACGTCCTCGACCTCATGTGGAAGCATGGGAACAACGATGGAGGCATTGAGGGCCGCTTTGAAGTTTTCGCTCAAATCGAGCAGCGTTTCGATCATGTATGCCAAGCGTGTGTGCGTGCTGGGTTGTTTCTCACACTTATTGCGTCGACCGTCCATCTACAATGCTCCATGATCTTCCAGTAAAGAGAACGTCGGCCAGGGCAGTCTTCCATATCAGACTTTCGGTGAAAGCACCGGCCCAGCAGTGCTGCACTTTCATCCTCCTTTTCGTTCTCGTCGCCGATTCTTCTCCATGTCATTCCGTATCCGATCTTGCCATGAGCACGTAAGGATCCAAGGTGCATTTTTTTCCGAACGTTAGGCTTCTGTGTTGGAGGAGGTGGGCGTGGAGGCAGCCTTACAATAAAGCAGACCTTCGGTGCTGGCAGTCTTCCAGCAAAGACCCTCGGTGAGGGCACCTGCCAAGCAACGCCCCACATCCCTCATCCTTTTCGTTTATCCGTTTCGCTTTCATAGTTTCATCATCCTCTTCATCCCCTTTCGCCCTGTTGCGTTTATACCCCTAAGCGGCACCATGTTCTAAGTGTTCCATTCTTGTACCCGAAGAGGCGGGGGTGTTGCCGGATGAGGCGCAGGAGGTTTTCTTCATCGACCATCGGTGCGTGCAGCATTCCAATGAAGGAGACCCTTGGTGAGGGCAGTCTTCGCGTGAAGACTGCGGTGATGGGCACCGACCCAGCAGTAGGGACTGAGGAAAGCGATGGCGAGGCGATCTCGAACCTTCAAGGCCCCAGCTTTTGCCAGCTGAAGATTGGAGTGCCGAGCAAGACGACCAGCGCAAGCCAGTCGACCGCGAGGCGCCTGGTGAGGGCAGTAGGCTTGTGGAAGGGGGCGGGGAGTGGAGGTGCGGTGGAGCAAGGGGAAGGGAAACATATCTTGCCGCGTGTGTTTGGGCACAGGTTCGAGTAATCCGCGGGTCTCCCTTGTCGACTGTTGCCGTGCCTGTCCTGTGCACCTACTTCTGTGACGGTGTCAAATTCATTGGTTGCGCCGACTGGGTCTTCGGGAGGTGTGTGGACATTGAAGGGCTGGTAGGGGAGGAGCATCAGCAAGACCTTCGATGAGGGCAGACATTGCGTCTGCAGCGCCTGCAAGTTAGCCGCGAGCGTTCTATGTCAAGTTAGCTGCGATGAGAGCAGATCATCACATCACAGGCTCTCGAGCTTACCCTAGGTGAGGGTCCTTTCATATTGGGGCGGGTGGAAGTTTAGATGCGGGGAGGGTGGCTCAGGTCCTTTGCGCTGCGCTGTCGCACATGACGCTTTTACAACACGACTGTCGCTGATGACGCTGTGATCCTCTCGCGATCGTCCTCTTGTTGTTTTTGTTCTCGCGCCCGTCACTGTAACAGGTCGGTTTGTTGAGGAACGCAGCAGCCCCCCGTCGCTGATGTGTCCCCGAAAGCATAACAAAAAGAGGGAGATGGGGGAGAGACGGAGGAGGAGGAGGAGGAGGAGGAGGAGGAGGAGGAGGAGCACGAGGAGGAGGAGGAGGAGGAGGAGGAGGAGAAGGATCATGAAAAGCAGGAGGAGGAGGAGGGAGGAGGAGGAGGAGGACGAGGAGGAGGAGGAGGAGGAGGAGGAGGAGGATAATGAAAAGCAGGAGGAGGAGGAGGGAGGAGAGCACCCTTCCCAGTTCCAGAACTTCTCCCTCGCGATGACGCGCATGGGTGCGTTCCTCGCGCTCGACGAGCTGCCTCCCGCGGTGCTGGACCGCCCCTGCGCCCCGGCGTTCGCAGGCTGCCCCAGGAGGAGGGCTTCTTCTAGAGGAGGAGGGAGGAGGAGGAGGAGGAGGAGGAGGAGGGGGGAGGAGGAGGAGGAGGAGGAGAAGAGGAGGAGGAGGAGGAGGAGGAGGAGGGAGGAGAGGAGGAGGAGGAGGAGGAGGAGGAGGAGGAGGAGGAGGAGGAGGAGGAGGAGGAGGGGGAGGAGGAGGAGGAGGAGGAGGAGGAGGAAGAGGAGGAGGAGGAGGAGGAGGAGGAGGAGGAGGAGGAGGGAGGAGGAGGAGGAGGCGGAGGCGGAGGCGGAGAAGGAGGAGGAGGAGAAGGAGGAGGAGGAGGAGCAGGAGGAGGAGCTGGCCCGCCAGATTGTCTCGGTCAGGCCGGCGTGGCTTGGGCGCCTGCGCGTCCCGCTCCGGCCCAGCAAGAGGACTTTGGTGGAAAGACGAGAGCGGCATCAGCAGGACGAGAGCCGAAAGAGGGCAGACTCGTCCTGGAGAGCTCTCGTTGCAACGGCTGGGTTCCCCGCCAGATTCTAGTCAGAACGCGCCCAGCGAGAGGTCCGTGGAGTAGCGATATCGCACCTGTGTGTCCCCCAAGAACGAGAATGAGAAGGAGGAGGAGGAGGAGGAGGAGGCGGAGGAGGAGGAGGAGGAGGAGGAGGAGGAGGAGGAGGAGAAGGAGGACGAGGGAGGGAGGGAGGGAGGGAGGGAGGAAACAAAAGAGGAGGAGGAGGAGGAGCTATGGCGCTATGGCGTGACCGCGGCTCCCAGGTGCTAGCCTGGCCGCCTGTTGCCACATCACCGGTGGAAAGCCATTCTCGACCTTGGCGGGAGCCCTCGTTCCAGTCGGGCCAGCGCCTCCCGTCTTGGCGGGGCGCGGGCACTCGTCTTGTTTTATGTTCCCGCGCCCGAGACAGCAACTGCCACACACAGCGCAGAGCAGCCTGCGTAGTCGAAGGCCAGACTGTCAGACTGGATTGGGCCCCAAGGGCCAGTCTGGCCTGGCCAAGCTGGATGATTTGGGTTATTCGCCAGACTGGATTCGCGTGGGCTCCCTCGCCAGATTGCCCCCGTTTGCCAGATTGGGCCTGCCAGATTGGCGCCAGATTGGCTTCGACTACCCAGGCAGCGCGCCGTCGATTGCAGACGGGGAGCGGGTCCCGTGGCACAGGGCGGCCATCGGAGGGGCCGTGGGTCCAGGAACCGCCTCAAACTTTCTAGGGGGCCGCGATCCTCCTCCTGCCACGGCGCACACAACCGTGAGGCATGCACTGCGTTGCAGGGTCCAGGCCAGAATGCCAACCGAGGGCCCGTCTTACAACGCCTGGCTGAACACGTGCTGCAGTTATGCAGGGTCCGACGGTCAACGGCAGCGTGACCCTGCTCAGAGACACGCTCACGCCGAATGTAAGCCCTACGTGGACCCCTGCGTGCGCGCACATGCCCATGATCAACACGCGTGCGCGCGCCAGCACGCTCGCGCGAACACTGCTCAACCACCTCACGCTGGATGGCTAGAAGCCGACACACAAAATCACGACCCAACTTATCCTGTTCTAAAGTGATAACCCGTGGGGTGATTTTTCGTCCATCTCACATCGACCTCACCACCCCTGAGGTCTTGGACATCCCAGAGACGAACCCACAAGTCCAGCATGTCAGATTTTGCCTGCGAAGCTAGAGGTCGCCGACATCCCCGAACAACCAGATAAAAGTCACTGAACAGAAGATTCCTCCCAGTAGTCTGGTCGAAACAATAGTAGGGGCCAGAAGTTCAGAACTAGGGCTCGACTGGTCAGGGCCACCAAGACAACCAGCAAGTCCCCGATCCACAACATTCAGATGGGCACCTAGCCGACCACATGCCCAGCCACATCTCTTCAGCCTCTGGTCCTAGCTCCCGACCTCCCGATCCGTCGATGCCCAATACCCCTCCATCACGGACAGCAGGATCGTCAAACGATGCCCATCCATATTTCATTCCACGGGCGTCGGGGAGATGTCCAATCGACATCCGGCGGCATGAGCCCGCAGCGCCAGAGGGCAGGCGAATGATTTTCGCGAGCTGCACGCTCGGCGAGGCGAGCAGTACGCTCGACAGCTGGATCTGGGATGGAGCTGTTAAACCTGTGAATCCAAACACGATTGAAGGGGGATTCGGGAGCCTCACCGCACCGAGGACACAGCCCATGGGAAAGAGTACAGTGGGGACCCATGCCAAGAAACACCCTGCTTGCCTTCAGGGTGGCCTGGATTTCTTGGGTTTCGATGGTTTTGCGATGGAAAGCGTGACTTTCCCACACCAAAGTCAGTGGACGCTTTGGGGTCTCAGGGTTGGGTTTCTTACGGAAGGTTTCTTGTGCACTTGCCTCGATTGTAGCAGTGGGCTCACCTCCACTGTAGCATACCCCTCATCATGCAAGCGTTGGGGTCCAGCGCCCCGCCGACACCAGATTTCGGAGGAGGCATTCCCCATTAAATCAAGGTCCTTTCTGGATTTAGAGAGAACGTCCCGAATAACGGCGAAACCAACTCCTGATTGGACTCGATGCCCGTGGTAGTGCTTAGCAGCTTGGCGCCAAACCAGGTCATCACAGGTAACCTTCAGCCTGCGCCGAAGGGTCAATGAAACATCGGGCGCAGTGGTGCTTGTGCCACCTTCATCTTCATCCTCAGTCATTGACTTGGGGTCCTGGGTTGCCAGCCAAGGGCCAGGAGAACGGCTGCAGTGGCAGCAACAGGGCCTGGAATACGCTTCCAACCCTGGCGCTTGGGGATGGAGGTGACCTGGTCACACTTAGCAGTCCAGAGCTGGGAAACGCGCTGTTTTTTTTCTTACTGGGAAAGGTTAATCAGGAAGGGTATTTCCAACCGTCAACGAATCCCTGGAGGTGATCCCACCAAAGTCGGTAGATGGGGAGTCCTTCTTCTCAGAGCTCAAGATGCCCAAGGCCGTTGAGGTACAAGCTCCAGCATGCCAGCGCCCAGAACAGATAGCTGCCTGTCCTCGGGCAATCTGAACTTGGGCCCCTGAGATTCCTGCAACGTTCTGCCCCCACGTTCTTAAAGCAATTACATCTGGCTTGCAGAGCTTGAAGGCTTGCTTCACAAGCCTGCTGAGATGCTGGGCCTTCTTAGCACGGACAGCAGCTTTACGACGACGAGCGCGAATTGTGGAAACAGACCTAAGCATGCCGGCAGTGGCAACAGTGCCGAGGTCGCGGGTGGCACCGTCGACTTTAGATTTCAGACTTGCGATCTTTCAATCATGCGCAACGAGCAATGCACAATACCGCCTGTTAGCAACGACAGCAGACGTATCGGGTATGACAAGTTCGTTGGTCTCAACGGCGTCGCAACGGTGCAACGATGTGCCGTCGAACCTGATCTTCTGTTCCTTGAAGCATGTGTGATATATCGCCAAAATATGAGCGCGTACTCACACTAGGGTTCCCACCGACAAACTTAGTGTGAATAGCATTGAGGATGTGGTAGAGGTTAAACCTTAATCTACGGCATACATTGCATACAACCTGGAAGGATTCCACTACCAGCAGGTAAGACCTGGTAACAGAAACCACTACTCTCGAGCATCCTGACGGGCACCAAGAGACCAAGGTATAGCATGTGCGGCTGGAAATTCAGCTCGCAGGCGATTTCACGAGCCTAGCTGGCGCAACAGTATCACTTGTTTGCCAAACCCCAGTGAAGGCCATCACTGCGCACCCCTGCAAAGGTGGCAAGCTCATGGCACAGCTCTCTCCGAAGCGCAGCCTCGACGGCTGAACTCCCCTTGATAGTCGCATCCCAAGAATCAGCGTGTCCCTGGGTCCATTGGGCCACGGTATCACCTCGCATTTTACAGTCGATGCGGTAGAGGGTGGGGTACTTACAGACAGGCCTCTCATCAACGGGTCCCTTCGGAAGAGTGCAGATGATGCCCAGGAGAGTCTGAGCAGGGCAAGCCATTTGCCGTGCTGACTCATGAAAAAATCCCGACGAGAGCTTCGGCAGGGGCAGGGGCCAGATCGAAGAAATCCCGAGGCTCACCGCCGCCTGCGCCTCTCAACTCGGCCTGTCGCGGGAGATGCGAGCGTCGCAGCTTAGCTGCGCGCTGTCTCCTTTGCGCCGTCTCCGCGGCCAGGCATTGCGTCAGGGGCTCCTGCAGCGCGGTCGCCAGGTCCCCGCTCGCGGCGAGCCCCAGCCCCTGGGCTTGCAGTCCGCGCGGCGCTGTTGCCAGCTGCTGAACCGCCCGCGACGGCCGTTCCAGGCAGCCTCCTTCACCACCCACTAAACCACCCCAACCCAACCCGAAGGCTCAGATTTACCCTCGATTTCCAGTGGGGGGGGGTCGGGAAACATCGAAAAAACACATGTGGAACCCTTACCCCCCCCCAACCCGAAATTCGGGTCTTCGGGTTGGGTTGGGGTGGTCTGGTAGGTCGTCACTCCTACCGTCCCGCTGCCCTGGCCCTCCGTGTCTTCCAGCGCCGCCGCCGTCCACGAGGCCCGGAAGGCCGCGTGGCGGCGCGTCCTTGCCAGCTGCGCGCCCAGGCCTCCCAACCCGGCTGGGAAGCAGAGGAGTTTCCTGGCTGCGACGTCGAGGTCTCGCTCCAGGAGGTCCCGCCAGCATCCCGTGAGCAGGTCGTCATATTGTTGCGCCGCGGTGTCCATGGCGAGCTCCATCCGCAAGGAGTGTTGGCTCGCTGGACCGGGGTAAGTGCGGAGGAAGGTTGCCACCGCCTGCTTTTTGAGTCCAGCCTCCTGCAGATTCTTCAGCTCCCCCCAAGAGTGCCTGCAGCTTCAGCTTCCTCCCTGCTTTGGCGAAACTGCTCGCCCGGCTCCCGGCTCCCCCAGGGCAGCGGGCGAGCTGCTGGCGGCGTCTCCTGGCGGCCGTAGGTGCTTGCCGATGCGGGCAAGTGGGGCACCCAGCGCGCATGCAGAGGAGGAGGAGGAGGAGGAGGAGGAGGAGGAGGAGGAGGAGGAGGTGGACGACGAGGAAAGGGAGGGAGATAGGGGAATATCCCTCGTTAGCATAGCGCGCCCCAGCATGAGATCAGGCGGCCGTCTTCGCTGCGCTGACCAGCAGCCCAAGGGGGCTGGAGTGCTTGCGGCAAGGCTAGCAGGGCGAGCGGGGCCAGCGCGGCGTCCACCACCACCAGGTAGGAGTCGTCCAAGTAGTTACCTGTAGATATTCGCCTTCTAGGGGCCAACCTCCTCGTCCTCCTCCTCCTCCTTCTCCTGCTCCTCCTCCTCCTCCTTCTCCTCCTCCTCCTCCTCCTCTTCCTCCTCCTCTTGGAGCAGCTTCGCTTCAAACCTGCCCACGGCTTTGAAAGCCTTGCTGTCGGAGCGTGGTACCTGTCCAGGGGAGAAGACCACGAGCGACACGACGTCCCCCTTGTCGAATTCCCCCGCCCGCTTTCGGCTCATGTGGCGGGCGCCCGCTCTAGGTTGGGGACATTGGCCGCCTGGTCCGGTTTCCACCTGGGCTTCCAGCTTCCGCAGGAGGGGGTCGGTGCCGCCAGGCCTCCCGACCCCGTAGGATCGGCTTGCGTTCCGCCAGGGAGCGAGTCCGCCTGGCCCGTGAACATCCGGACGCTTGCCGCTTGCCCTTGCAATGGTTCGCTCGAGCAGCCAAGGCGCTCACGGCAGGCTCAGTGTGGGGGCTCTGGACGGGCCCCGGCCTTCGGGTCGCGCCTCAGATCCAGGTCGGGGGACTTCTTCGTGGCCGATTCTCGCCGTGGCCGGAGAAGGCCCTGAGAGCTTCGTTTCGCGTGCCTCGGGGGCCGCACGGTGACTGCAGCAACTGCTGAAAGGGGCCACCTGCACGAGCGCCCCCACCAGGCGGCTGAAGCTCCTTGCCGCGGAAGCGGTCACCTGTCACCCCGAGCCGCCAGGGACCGCTTTGCCTGCCTTGTTGGGATGCTGCTTCCAGCTGCGCAGTTGCGCCCCGGGAGGCCAGACGGCATTCAGGGGAAAGAGGAAGGCCGAGAAGAGGAAAGGAAGCGAGAAAGGGAGAGGGATTCGGTCGGGAACTGTGTGTTAGCATGCCGCGCCGCTGGTTCTGGCCCACCACGCGTCGGCGTGCCACGCTGACCACGTCCCCGCTTCCAAGCGTCAGCGCCACGAGCTCTTCCCAGCCTGCCGTCCTACGAAGCGGAGCGACACGGGCACAGCGTGTCGCCGGGGCCGCTGCCGCGCCACGCTGAGCAGTTCCTGGCTGTGTGCTCTCGACCCCCCCGCTTAAAATCCGATGGAGAACGAGAAAAGGAAACGAAGGGGGCGGACGGAGTTTCGGGGCAGCCGCTTCGAATCTCCCCCCCGCCTAAAATCCGATGGAGAACGAGAAAAGGAAACGAAGGGGACGGACGGAGTTTCGGGGCAGCCGCCTCGAATCGCCTGGGCGTCCCAGCGGTTGTTTTTCAAGCAGTGGTGAAGCGTCCGGGCTTGCCTATAAGCCCACCAAAGGATGTTCTAAGAACCTTCTGTGGCCTGCACGAGATGTTCTTAGAACACTTATGGCTGAGACCGTTTTCTTTTAACTCATCGGGCTTATGTTCTAAGAGCATCGTTTTTCTTATTATAGTATTCTTGTGTTCTAAGAGAATGTCGTGGTAGGCCTCTAGGAGTACCGGGACGGTCGTTCCCTGCTCAAGTGTTGTTTGACGATTGTCTTCTTTTACCATGGCAGTTTGATTCGTCGAGCGGCTTTAGCGCGCGTCGCACACGAACCAGCCGTGCAATGAGAGAAAAGAGCCCAGTGCGACCAATGGTAGGAGTCTTCTTTCTTGTGCGAGGCGCCGCCCAAGCAACACACACGCACACGAACTGATCCTACGCGCAGGCAGTCTAAAGACGTGCTAAAGTCAGAACGCAAACTAAAGACAAGCGGCATGCAAGCAAAAGAGCTAGACATCAACAAGCGAATGGTTCGCGAATGTGAAGCTAAGGGCACACAATGTAAAACCAAGCTTTGAAGGATTGTCCAAAATATTGAAGCGCACGCTGGAAGGGCAATGCAAAGGCAAGCTGAAAATATTAGCGCAGACAGATCGAACGGCAAGCTGAAGACAAATGACACGCAACCGACCTGCAACGTAAGAGCATGCCGCATACGGATTCACGGGCAAGCTAAAAGACAGATGCAGCAATAGAGCCAGCAAGAGGAAGGCAGACGAAAAGCAAGCGAAACGACAGCTCCAAGACGGGATGTCAAGGTAAGAGCGAGCAGCATATCAGCTAAAGACACGGACCCTGCCAGCTAAATCCAAGTTGCAGACGTGCCGGAGGCAAGCTGACCAGCAGGCCACTTGCATCTTGAGAAACGCTGCAAGCCAAGTCAAAATCAAGAGGCCCGGTGCCACGAGGAGCTGGGGAGGTGAGCGTGTTCATTCCCTCCCCAGGGTAACGCTCGTTACCCGGGCCACCCCCGCCCCCTTCCCTGGGTGACGCTAACGATCGTACTGTGGGGGCGGCCTGGACCCCCTCCCCCACAAGCTGTGGTGAACGCAGGCGATTGATGCGCCGGTGGCGCGGGCGCGCCCTGGCGGGTGCACGCCGCGGCCGCTGTTGCCCTCCCGCTTGACCCCCCCCCTCCCGGGGCAGCGACCGTTACCCGGGAAAGAAAAAAATTGTCACGAGGGGGGAGTTCGCAAGAAGCGGGAAATGGGCAGGCGCGGTTCCGCCGGGCCAGAGTTGCCAGATTGCCTTCTGGCACGGAGCCCTGTGCCAGGAGCTCTGTGCCAGAGACGAGTTGGGGGAACGATGCCTTCCAGGCGAAGGTGTGGGCCCATGACGAAATATCACTCACGGTTGTGGTTGCCGCTATCAGGAGGAGGACGAGGCTAGACGGCCCGCCATCCCTACGAGGTACGCTAGCTCGGGGGCTGACTTCTTGCTTTGAAGTGCTCTCCCTCATCCGCTGGATTTTTGCAAGTTTGCCGCCCACAGGTGGCAGCGTAGCGCCTGCGCCATCCGCCAGCGGCCTGCTGGACGCGTCCCCTGCCTTCGCCGACGGCGTCAACGCTGCCTGGGCGGTGCCCGACCCGCCGGCGGACGGCAAGGGCAAGGGCAAGGCCGGCTCTGGGCGGGCTCACGGCAGCCCCAGGCCAGAGTTAAATCGGGCCTGTCCCTCTACAGGGTGAATATTCAAAAATAGTAAAAAATAGTCTTGGGCCGAGTTTCCTTTTATGTTTTGACTACTTAGGGTTTTTTATGGTTTTTTCTCATGTTTGTCCAAAATCCGCCTGTAGGGGGATATGCCCGACCTAAGACCAGAGTCATAGCGAGACTTGGCTGCTTCAGCTTCCCCAGAGCGGGTAGATCTCGCTATCGCTTTGGTTTGAGCCGCCTTTCGGGCCTGCGTGCACTTCAAAAGCATTCGGTATCGTCGCCCACGTCAGAGATGGTGCAGGAGAGACTGCGGAAGCCTGGGGAGGTGTTGCAGCGCGCTATCTCGCTGTTTTGATGTTCGCGCCGTCGACTGCAGTGCAGGACAATTTCAGGGGGGGGGCAACACACAGGCACAATTAATTATCGATTCCTAGGAAGTATAGGAAAACATGGGAAGTGGAGGGCATGACGAAGATTCAGAAGATATGGCAGAAAATGTGAAATCCTGGGATTTGTGTCTATTTGTTCGTGTGTCCCTGGGCCCCTTCAAACTGTGGGTCGGACGTGAGGGTGAACAGCAGGCGACCTTTCGCCCAATGTTCCCGAGTTACCCTCCCCGAGAGATCCGATCATGCCGCCCAGAAAAGGACGGAGCACTGGGGATGCATCCCCGGTGGCCTACAGTCGACCCGCGCGGTAAGGATGTACAACTTTCCCAAGGGTACCCTTGCATCCTTGCCCCTTCGGCCAGTCCTTAGCGACTTTCGATGGCCAACCTCGTTCGAAACGCTGACATGACCCTCAAGGCCCTTACTTTCTTACCGTGCATCCTTCTGATACGGGTTGACTGTATTCGGACGCACCCCAACCGAGAACGAACCCCCCCCCCATCGTAGAGCCCCGAGGTTGGCGTTCATGTTTTCTGCCCAGTCGGAAGTCCCACAACGTCGCGGATCGGGCTTGCCAACGCCCGTTTGTGAAGTCGGTCCAGTGATTACCTCTGCCGATCCCGATGCCCACCCAGCCTGACGCGACTCGGTCGCCGCTTCGATCCGACCTGGCCCTGCCGGCCTCTGCCGATTTGATACGCCAGCCGGCCTCCGCCTGGCGCTAGCCGATTCGATATCCAGGCCGATCCGACCCGAGTTGTCGAGAAGGCGATGCTGGGGCCGCCCGGGGATAGACAGTGTCCTCGTTCGGTCGGGCTCCCCTCCCTCTCCTGCAGCTGCTGCCTGAGTCACAACTCGTGGGAGCTTCAATTCAGCATCGGCACTGGTACATCCGTGGTCGAGAATGGTCAGAATCTGGCATAATCTTGTTTAATGTCACTCGTTATGGCTTGATTCTGGGCTTCATCTAGGCTATTCAGGCCGAGTGGCCCTCGGAGGGCGCCCCAAGGGCGGCGGAAGCTGGCGGAAGTCAAGAGATGGCAACATTTGGGGGCTCAGGGTTGAGTAGGCCCGAGGGTTAGAGAGCGCCTTCCTCTGCAGGGGCACCAAGCAAGGGACGCCAAGGTGGTTAAACACCTCGCTGGTTAAGCCGACGAAGATGTGCAAAATCCAAATATCCGTTTATGTCCAAAGTTTTGGCTTGACGCCGGGTGCGGTGCATCAATTCCAGCTCGACCGAACAGGTTGGTTGTGCCCCTTGAGGTCCGGGTGTGTTCTGCAGACCGGCCCCCCCAGCCCTATTCAAGGTCAGGGTTTCTCGAACCCGCAAGATATCGAGAGGGTGCGCCCACGGCCCGAAGGGGCTGGCCTGCGCAGAAGGGTCGGAAGGCCTGGTCTTCCGATAAATCATCTGAGCCTTTTCCGAAGACGTCATCAAGAATAAAAGAACCCCTAACCCTAAGAACACGACAAAGACGTGGCCTCGTTTAGGTCCCCGTCTTCGCATTAGGTATAATGAAGGGCGGTCTAGTCCAACACATCCGCAGAAAAGACCCCCTACCCTCCCTTACCATCTGGCCCTCCTAATGTAGGTCCCCTCCTGAATGATGCTGTTTTTGATTCAGGGCTGGACCTAAACGGTGTTTTGGTCATCTCGTGGGCCGTTTTGTGTGTTTCGTTTTGGTTTGCTTTGGGTGCGATTTTTCGACTATGGTTGATCATGGTTGTTTTTTGAATTATTTGTTATTCCCAACCCCCTCCTGTGGTGATGGGTCGCTTTGAAGAGACAGCGCCGCCCCGCGTTACTCCGCCCGCTGCCCCCTCCCCCTCATCTCCCATCCGCGCTTCTCCTCCCATCCCTACTTCCTGCTCTCCGCATGTCCATTTCGGCACACCCCTCACACAGTTCGTGGCCCCGATCGGGAGTTCCACCGAAGGCCCCAGTGGCCGCGTCCGCATGCGTCCCCCCGCCCATTTCGGCATACCTCTCACGCACATCGTTGCCCCATAGAGAACTCCACCGAAGGCCCCAGTGGCCGCGTCCGCATGGGCCCCCCCCGCCCACCGCATTTCCATTCCGGTACACTGCTCACACGGCTCGTGGCCCATAAGGAGCTCCAACGAAGGCCCCAGTGGCCGCGTCCACATGCGTCCTCCCCGCCCACCGCATGCCCATTTCGACACACCCCTCAGACGTTTCGTGGCCCTATGGGGAGCTCCACCGAAGGCCCCAGTGGCCGCGTCCGCATGGGCCCTCCCGGCCCACAGCTTCACATTGCGGTACACCCCTCGCGCGGTCCGTGGCCCCATAGGGAGCCCCACCGAAGGCCCCAGTGGCCGCGTCCGCATGCGCCCCCCCCGCCCACCGCATGTCAATTTCGGCACACCCCTTCACAGTGGCCCCATAGGGAGCTCTACCGAAGGCCCCAGTGGCAGTGTCCGCCTGCGTCTTCCCCGCCCACCGCGTGCCCATTTCGGAGCACCCCTCACACGTTTCGTGTCTCATGGGAAGTTCCACCGAAGGCCCCAGTGGCCGCGTCCGCAAGCGCCCTCCCCTCCGACCGCATGCCGATTTCGGCACACCCCTGACACGGTCCGTGGCCCCATAGAGAGCTCCACAGAAGGCCCCACTGGCCGCGTCCGCATGCGCCCTTCCCGCCCACAGCATGCCCATCCTTGTACGGAGCTCCACAGAAGGCCTCAATGACAGGGTCCATATGCGCTCCCGACCCCCATGTCGGCACAACCCTCACACGGTTCGTGACCCCACAGGGAGGTCCACCGAAGCTTCCAGTGACACCGCCCGCATGCGCCCCCCCCCTCACCCATTTCGGCACACCCCTCACACGCTTCGTTGCCCCATAGGGAGCTCCACCGAAGGCCCCAGTGCCACCGTCCACATGCGTCCGCCGCACCCATTTCGGCACACCCCTCGCAGGGTTCGTGGCCCCATAGGTAGCGCCACCGAAGAAGAGCTATTCACAACTGCGGTACTCACAACTGCATCTCGTTGGGTCTTTCACCAGGCTAATTATAAGCCCGCATGTAGGAGGACATGTCCGACCTAAACCGAGGGGCCGAGGACGCACTTTGAATTTCAATTGAAAAATACATTTTGCACCAGTGGGGAGATCAGCAATACTTGCTCTTTCGCGGTGAGAGTTCAACAGCAACAACAGCAACAACAACAACACCAGACACAACAACATCAGCAACAGCAATAACATCGACACCAGCAACAACAACGACAATCATGTCAAGACTGTTCGCTCTTACCTGCTCGCGTGTCACTCAGCACGTCTGTCCCAAACCCTCGATACCCGTCACCTTCGTCTTCGACCGTACCCCTTTTGGGGTATACCTTTCTTACTTGCCACGTGCATGTAGCGCACCCCTTAAAACAGAGGAAAAGAGCTGCGTGAATCGCGAGGAAGTCTCGAGCGATAGCACGATTCTGAAGTACATCTCTAGAAGAGCCAAAGTGAAAGCGTGGTTCCTGAGTGTCGAGGGGGCGGTGTTTGAATACATTACCAATAAGATCCACGCGAGAGCGCGATTTCTGCATTAAAGTAAGGAAGTGCAGCGCGAGAGCTAAATTTTCCATTATTTTGAGAGGAAGGAATCGGCGGGAGCCGTTGGTGTTGTAGTTCGAGGGCCAGGGACCATCTCAGCCTCAAGATTTGCCCTTGTAGAAAACAGGGTGCAAGTCCCGGGAGGAGCACTGTAATTGGAAACGTAGAATGTGCGCCGGAGGGGGAGCGGATCAGGCGGGCGGACCGTAACGGGCAAGTCGGGCGGGCGGGCCCAGACGGCCAGGTCGAGCGGGCGGGTCGCTGAAGCGTCAACCCTCCTGGTATCCTTGCATCGCTTACAGCCTGAAGGATGCAGGCGGACTCTTGTCGAAACGGGGCTCTCGCCTGCAGGGTCGGCCCGTCCCCTTCCTATGCGCTCCAGCCTCGGGTTCGGCCTCGGCCGTGCTGCGATTCGAGGAGTTCTTTCGGGCCAGCTCGCCCAGGCTGGCTTCCCGCTCGCACGGGTGCCGCCCTCCCTGATCATTCTAGGGGGCCACATGCGAACCCTACCCCTACCCCCCACGATTTCTGAGGGGGAGGGTGGGGTTCACTTCGTTCGGGAGCTGCCGAACGAAGTGAACCCCACCCTCCCCCTCAGAAATCGTGGGGGGTAGGGGTAGGGTTCGCATGTGGCCCCCTACATTCCCTCTCCACCATAGCCGTTCTGGCCCAAGAAGCTGCACTGTGCACGCCAGACCCCCCGGCACCGCCCGACGACCCGAGCCGCCGAGCCAGATCGATGGCGTCGCTGCTCGGCATCAAGCGCGCACGCCTCACCGATGGCGCAGCGCCCGAGGTCGGCATGAAGCAAGCGGGCCCTGCGGAAAACGAGCCCTGAGTTTTCCGCCGTCTTCGGCCCCTCGGTTCGCTCCCCAGGCCCCGGGACGGTCAAACCGACCCAGGACGGCGGGGTGGGCCCGGGGGGAGGCCCCGGGCCCTGGGGTCCGGGACCCGTTTGCTTCAGGACACGTTCCCAGACGTCCGCCGCCGTGATTTTGTCAA